TTAATATTATGGAAATTTGTTTGTATTCATAATTAGATGCCAGATTTCCTATCATTTGAAAAGCTTGGGATTTTAATGAAGTATTTTTTTTTAAGGATTTTTTTTTTAATGTTTTGATTGCATAGTTTAAAAGTTGTGAAAGTGTGTGTTCATAATTTTTGAGCTTGTTCTGTGATATCAAAAGTTCTGAATAGTACTTTACGTGTCAAGATGTTAATGAACTGGTTTGTGGACACGATATTAATGAGAAATTATCATTTTTAAGAAATATTTTGAAGCTCATGTCATGCTGCATGTGGTGTAAGGGCTGCAAATGCTGCTAGTAACAGAGCTAAATTCTCCTGCTTCTGTTCTAAGAGAGAACCATGCAGATGCTGTATTTCTGAATAAAACTTGGATGTGTCTGGACGATAACAGTGCAAAGCTCGAGAGAAATTATTTATGTTACTTCAAGAGCATTGAATTTGAAACACAGAAGATAAAGATTGTCTCAGAGCGATTCAGGGCATTATACAATCAGAGAATCAACGCAGTCCATGCCCAGTAATTTAAACTGTTAAGTTTAATGTTGGCCTAAAGTTGACTTATTGAATTATTCCTTCAATATACAATTTGGCTGCCAGGACGTCTGTGTTTCAGCTCCTTGCACTTGAGTTGCCAATAAGTCAACAAACTGTTTGATTAGTTGGACTTGAAATATATCCAAAAGAAATGTGTATTGTATTTAATTAGATATATAAAAAAAAAATATGAGGTCTCTAATTGTCCATACTTTTTTTTTAACCAATGTATATAATTTGTCGTTATAGAAAATATTGTATTGAATTCATATATTATTTATAGTATGTATCTCAACTTGACTAACATTTGTATGAATGTTTATTATTTGTTTTCTTTGCTCAGCAAATAAAATGCACCTCCATTATTGTTTTCTTAGCAATTTTTTTTTCCCTCCTATGCCAAAACATATCCCCACTAATAGTGACTTAGAAAAGAAAATATAAAATACCTCATTGCTATTAAGATACCTTTTTAGGCAAATGCAGGAGCCACATTTGAGACCCAAAGGAAAGCCATTATTGAAGACTGAAAGAAAACTTTAATAGACCGCCGGAAGACAATGGCTTTGTCTGCAAGAGATGCGGAAAAATATGCATGTTGCAACTGGGTTTGCGTAGTCATGTGAAACATAATCTTCGGAATCGAAGACATTGCCATTATTTTTATTAAGGTGATTGTAAAAATAATAGAAATCCTCTCTAAATGGCAGTGTTTGTTTGTTTACAACTTGATTTATGTCACATCGTTTTCTTTTATGTTTGTAACTTGCTGATAAATTTAAATTTTCGGTATAACAAACTTGCACTTTGAGAATAAAAATGTGTTGGGAATTGAAACGTGTAGCCATGAGTTAATTTCTAAAACTAAATCTTTAACTTGGTTTAACTTGGAGAAATATGAATATTTATTGCAGCAGGTAGTCTGTGGGCCCTCACTCACTTCTCTTCCATTCTGTCTGTATCTAAAGGGATGGAACACCATCGCAATTTCAGTCCAATCCCATAGTTACAGCTACAGCTGTCTGCAACTCCAAATAAAACTGCGGTAATCAATCAACAAATTAGTTTTGAAGAGACGGTGTTCTGAAAGGAGAAACATAATGTTTGTGGCGTCCCTATTTCATTTGACCTATTTCTATGTTCATGCTTTACTTGTGATGGAAAGGTTTGTTTCATAGACAGGACATAGGAGCAGAAGAGAGGTTACTGTGTTTGGATTCATCAGTCATGATTTTTTTTAAATTCTGTAATGTCCTTTTCTGTTACTTCTTAGTTGTAAAAAGGTGAAAGGATTCCATTCTAGACCTTTGCTTTTTGGATCTATTGGATCAGATGATGTACTGTTGCCCCCCCCCCCCCCCCCCCCCCAACTCCAATTAAATCATGGAGCCATGTCTTGTCCTTTTGTGTTTCCATGTTAGAAAATTTAAAACTGAGTAGAAATTTTGTAAACTGTGTAATTTTGTATGTAAGTGACATTTTGAGTTCATGATAATACTTGTGTTGCTCAGAATATTTTTAATTGATTTGAAAATAATCCTTTGTGTGTGTGTGTGTTTTTTTTTAACCTTATAATAACTAGAATTATTACATAACTATAGTGAATGTAATCATTTTGTTTATTGTCATTTTAAGTTCTCAGTTGTTGTATGCCTGACAGTTGAGTTACTTTTCTGATTGTAGGCTTACAACAGGGTTGGAGTGATTAAAATCAGTTGATTTAAATCAAATGCTTCAACTGATATATATATTGATTAAAATCGTGATTACATTGGAAATAAACATTATAAAAATTTTGCTATTAATCTAAAAATTCAATAGGTTTTATTTCTAATATTAATTGTGCATCCTGGGTTGAGGTTGAATATAATCTAGCATTTACTCTCAGTGAGGACTACGTAAATATAATATTAATACAAACATAGAAAGAAGTATTAAGGAAAGGTACCTCCCCCCCACCCCAGAAATACTAAAATGGCACTAAATAATCATAAATGATTAAAATATGAAGCATCCTGATTATTGCTAATATATTGTGTGTAACTTACTTCCCTTAATGAATTCATTTTTGTTTTTACTATACTTAAAACAAATAAAAAATCACTTTGCAAAACAAATTATTTTTGTTAGGGACTAAATAATGATTCTAAATTCAATTCTGGTTAAATATCTATTAGATTGGTAAAAATCCATACATACAAATTGATTATACCATCAATCTATTTAAATTTTATGGTGCAGTTTAGTTTTGACCATATGCAGATAGAAGCGATAAAGATTTAACGCAATTTACTGTTCCGTATGGGAGTAAATGAACTTGAAATTTTTCTCTTGAAACAAAAAAAAAATTAAGCTTATGCATAATTAAATGTTTTTCCTAATTTATAGAAATCCTTACAAAATCCTTAATAAAAATATTAATAAACAAAATCTGAATAAATCACATTATTTTTTTTTAAATTACATTTTTATCCACCCTAATTGGTCAAGGCTAAATTTATGATGTCTCTACCTTGAAATCCATCTTGCATATTTGACAATTGTTTTGTCTTTTTGTAGTTTTTGATGCATGTTCTTAAGAATTTTTTGTCAGTTCTTACAAGGTTTATTTTTTTCTTATACATGGAAATGATAATGTAGCCAATTTGAAACTCTGTTTTTTTTTTTTTTCAACTGTTGTAAAAAAAAAAAATTAGCTTATTAGCTTAATCAAGGAAACTTAATATATTGAATAATTGAAAGGGCATTTTATGTTTGCTAGGTTGGCAGGAAATATACATACATGTTACTAAATAGAAATGTTTTTCATTGCTTGTACATCAGTGGCCACCCTAATTTTTTTAATGTTGCTTGCCCAAATCTAAGTTGCTTTGGTGACATGAAGGATCTTAAAATATGGAAGAATTTTTTCATTGATGTTGTCTTAAAGAGAACGGAGACAAATGTACAGTGTGTCATGGTCTAGGACTAGTAATATTATCCGTCTATGTTTCTGTTAAAGAATGAATACTATAGAGAGGCATCCCCTACTGTAGTCACTTTATCCACTGTACTGTTTTTGATGTTAGCATGCGACCAGTGTAAACTGCTGAGGTTCATGTTGCCTTATTGTCTCAGCATTTTAAGATGCTTCTAAGTTTGCCAAAGGTTCACTTCTGTGTTATACGACATTCCAAGTAAGAGTAACAATGCTGGGGTGGCTATGTACAGAGAATCTAACCTTGACTTTGTACACGAGAAACAAAGCCCCTTCATTTGTACATGTGTGTGTCCATTGAATCTTCATTGTAATACTTCATTGCAGCAGCACTCGACTGGGAATGTGCTATTAATGAATCTAAGCTTTTAAGACAATCAGAATGAATGTTTTGACTCGGACTCATGATTTAACTTTATATTATACTAGCTATGTTTTTTTTTATTCATCTTTGCTCTGGTTTTTTGTTCTGTTTTTGTTATATACTAAAAGGCATCTACGCTGTTTTAATAATTATAATCTACGTCAAGATGCCTCACTGACCTAAATCTAGTGAACTCTCTTGTTGTAGTACAACTTAATATATCCTAAGATCACTGCTAGTATCTAAGGAACGTACATGCCAAGGTTCATTAAGATATGTCAAGTAGTTATGATTCCTATAAAGGACATATTCCTTACATTCTACTTATGTTAGATTGAAATTGATGTACTTTAGACAAAATAATGTAAGGACGCTGCTGGCTTATATGTTAAGTTCCCCTTTCAGACTGTGTGATCTATAGGGCAGATGATGTAAAGGTCATCTGTTTCTGTTGCAGATGGTTAACGTCTGACTTAATAAATGCTGCAAAAGTTACACAATTAAAAACTCTTTTTTTTTTTTTTTTAGTTAATACACTCATTTATACAGCCTAAAATCATTAATTGGCCCCATTAGTTTTATTTACAGCCAAAATCTCATTTTTTTAATAAAAATATTTACATAAACATTAATTGTTGCTGCCAAATATACAAGTTTTAACACAATTAAAATGTTGAGTAAATTTATATAAATTTGTACGTTTTACATTCTATGTAATATATCCTAGTGTATCCATCATCTACTGTGTATTCACATGAATGATTGTAAGTGAACTGATTTTTGGTGAAAACGTTTATGAATAGAAATGCTTTAGAAAGGAATAATAGAAAAATTATTTTCTGTGTGTGTGTGTTTAATGTATGTGTATGTAAATCCCTTTTAATGACATATTCAGGTGCTGAAGTATAGTGATGCCAGTTTGATTCTCACAAGTATGTACATTTATCATCAAAGTTGCCAGGTATTTTGGTGTTTAAGAGACCATGTACATTTGTCATCAAAGTTGCCAGGTGTTTTGGTGTTTGAGAGACCATGTACATTTATCATCAAAGTTGCCAGGTGTTTTGGTGTTTGAGAGACCATGTACATTTATCATCAAAGTTGCCAGGTGTTTTGGTGTTTGAGAGATCATCATTAATGAACTGGAATTTCATACATTTACAAGTAAATCTTTTGTCACATGATACTTTACACTTTGTAGCTTACCCCATTTAAAAAAAAGCCAATTCTGAGATGGCATTTCATTTGAAATAAAGCATACCTTTTTATTTTAAGCATTGTTTGTATCCTACAGAGAATGTAAAAGCTATACATGTTATACAGTTGGTCAAGGTCCATAGTCTTGTATTTATTTTGAGGGAATCACTAGATTGCGCTTTTTGTGATGTTAATTTGCATTCCACTAAATAGAAATGTAAGCAACTAAATGCAATGAAATCTTCTGGTGTAAGTCAGCATGTCAGTGGACACTAGTATCCAATTGAAATTGACCTCTTTAGTAAAATTGCTACTTACTTTAGAATTTATCAGGTTGTTTTTTTTTTGGTTTATAATGGATGTCCCAATAGCCTAAGAGTTGAATCATGCCTAAGAGGTTTGGGTATTATAGTAGAGAAATTTGAAACTAACAAAACAATGTAAAATAGATTTACTTAAAATTTCTGTCACTATGTAAGTCAAAAATACTCAGTGCCAAACTGATGGTTAGACTTTTTTTTTTTTTCAATTTATTTGTGTCACTGTTCCAATAATTGTGCTGGCCACAATATTCCTTCTATTTTTAGAACTCAAAGCATGGGTGGAGAGAAAGAAGTTTTGTTTTCCTTGAGTTATTTTATAAGGACATTAAATCCAGCTGATGATGGAAACATTCTCTAATCTATACATTTAGAAATAGTTATGCAAACAAGAAGATATATATATAGTTTTCTGATTTCTCTTGTAAGGTTTTGGTTGTTAGTGGCATTGAAATAATTCATGATTGAAACATCACCCAGCAGTGTTTTATCCTGATGTTATGTGTACATAGTTTCTTTGTATTTTATTTACTGGTGACTGATTGATATAAACTTTTGTTTCCATTCAACTTGTCGTATTGTTATTTGTTTATGTCATGCTCCTAGTCTTATAGTGGCTTTAAACAGTCTTATAGTGGCTTTAAACAGTCTTATAGTGGCTTTAAAAAGTCTTATAGTGGCTTTAAACATAGTCTTATAGTGGCTTTAAACATAGTCTTGTCACAAGACATTTTGTATGGCGATCTAACAGAAGGCAGGAGAGATTGGGTCCCCTATTATACAGTATACAGATGTATGCAAATGCGACATGAAAGCTCTTCGAAATTGACAATAGCACCAGGGAAAAAGTGGCACTGCATAGATCCCCATTGAGAGCAAGTATAAAGGAAGGGTCAAGGGTCCCGGATTGCAGATGCCAAACAACAGAAGGGTGAAAATGCAACACGCCTGATGGTTACATATGTCCAACCTGTAACCGCAGCAGTGTATGAAGGATTGACTTCTTTAATCACACAAGAAGTTGCAAAGGGAAAAGATATTCTCCCACAGACCTATAATGGCTTTAAAAATAGTCTTTTAGTGGCTTTAAACAGTCTTATAGTGGTTTAAACATAGTCTTATAATAGTTTTAGTGACTTTCAATATGGTTTTATTATTAGTGCTTTTAAACCACTATAAGACTATCACATTTGTTAGGGTCAACACAACAACTTGAGTCACATTTGGGGTTTTCGTGAGCTAAAAAAGAAATTCGGTTTTCGTGAGCTAAAAAAGAAATTCAACACTTCTATCTTATATGAAAAAAAAACAACAAATGATAATACATGTTAAAAACAATCAAAATTATGTAAATTTCTTAAATGCTTGGAAAAAAATTAAATATCAAGATCTTCGTCTGGGTCTTCATCATCAATATCATCGGCTTCATCTGGCTGGTAAATTATGCGACTTGATATTTCAGTTTCACTTGAAATATAAATGTAAGAGGGAGAGAATAGATAAAATTTTTGGTACAAACTAACTATATTAGTTGAGTACGGTACTAATACAGTACATAAGCAAGTAAAAGATTAAAAAAATACTTTAAAAAAACAAACAACAAAGCTTATATTGAGTGAAATAACATTAATCATGTAATTAATTTAGATCTAGACTAACAATAAATTTATGCAATTGCAAATTTTTGTTATTAATTGCTTTTGTTAGTTGCAAATTTTAATGCTCAGTGCGCTTCTGTGGTCCAAGCATTTTTGTTTGCCAATTTGGTAGGGAAGATGGTGTATCTGTAAGGTTTCCCTGCTGCTTTTTCAAAAAAAAAAAAAAAAAGTTGCTCGAATCTGTATTTGAAGTGGAGATCTCGAGCCTCCATGATGGAAAGCTGACGTATTAGCCACTGAGCTACACAAGTATTTATACAAATTTATTTGTCATTATCAACACAAGCGATGGAGGTGTAAATCACGATGCCGCATGTTGGGTAGGGGCAAACAAATTGACCAGCATGGAGACCAAAATCCATTTTTTTAATGCAATCATCGTCTAAACGGCCACTTACCCTTGCAATATGTGGAAGTCATCCACAAAGTTTAAAAACAGACTGAACGTGGCTCAACAGCAAAGGTTGAGAAGGATCCTATGAATAACATGCCGAGATCAGACCACCAATAAAAAAAAACATCCAGGTAAAACATGAACCACTGGCCAGACAAGATCACTAATGAGGAACTGATGCAAAGAACAAAGCAGTGGCCCACTGAAGAACATTCCTTCAAAGACGTGATGGACAGTTTCTCACCTGGACCCCCCCCCCCCCCCCCATGGGAAAAAGGGCACCAAGAGGTATATGCCAAGCAGATGGGTAAGACATGGGGACAGTTGAAGAGACTTGCCCAGAACTGAAATACCTGGAGGAAGCTGGTATGTGGCAGAGATGAGATGAAATTTCTGACAAAAAAAAAAAGAGACACCCATAAAAGAACTAGTGTAAAATTTACACATTAACCAATCAAGAGACACCAATATATTATTAATACTTACATATCTTTAATGTATGGTAATTTCACTTGGCTACGAGCTTCCTTCTCTGTTTCCGTTAAAGACAAGTTGAACGAGAGCTTGGCAAGAGGATCAACCTATTGATAAAATAAAATAGAGCATACATTGTCAGTGATCCTAGTAAATTGTAGAAAGTGCTTTGCATTAACTTGTTGAACACGCAGACACACACAATGATGATACGTTTTAGCATTCAAGTACAATATAAAAGAAAAAATATAGTCCATTAGGAATTGTTTCACTTTTTAAATTATCCTTGTCAAGTAGTAAGGTTGAACATGAATGTCAAAGTTGTTTTTAAACTTAAATTGCTTGTATTTTAGTTGCAATAATTAATTCCAGCCTTTCTGTTTCCTGTAATGAGTAATACAACTTGACATCAAAACGAGTAAAAGTACCCATAGAAAAAAATGTTTGCAAAATGACATGTTTTGGATGTTCTTTCAAAGTTGTAGATAATTTACTTCCTAGTCCACACCTCCCGCAGGATGACGGGGGATGGCAGCGGATAGGGTATGAACCTGGAATCATTGACAAGTCCGAATGACAGTCCAGCGCACATACCAGGTAGCCATAATAAGGTCTGAAAGGGTTACCTTTCTTCTTTTCTGGAATAAATAAATCTCCGCAACACTCTCCTTCTTATGTTGTAGCTGTTCTTACCTTGTTGATCCATCCCTTCTTTTTCCTGGTACTGTTCCAGGTAGGAGAATCATCACATGGTATAAAAAATAAGTATGAGACTCCCATGAAGTTAAATAGACTTTTTTAGTTCTTTTGCATATTATGGTTACTTTTCAACTATTGACTAATTGAGTTTCAAGATTTTAAATAATTCTATTAAAGAGTGTTAGAAATCTTTTAATTGAAACTTAATTTTATCTATACCAAGTTCAATTTGCGTTGTTATTATTTTTGTCTTCTGTGCCTTTCTGAGGCTAGATCTTTTCTTTGGGCCTAAATTAATTGTTCCACAACCTTACTGAGAGCTCTTCCGCTGTCTCTTTCAGATGCCAACTACTGCTAGTTGCTTTCCTCTATGCCAGTGAGAGAAAAATGACGCCTGAATTGAATTTTAAAGTACTCTGGGGTTGGGGGGAGAGCACGGTTAGATCGCCCTCCTATTAGATCATCAAAAAAGATCACTTTTAACATGGGACCCCCATATGGGATAGGTGTCCAACCCAGTGCATCAGTCGACGGAATAAGTGTCCAACACAGTTCATCTGTTAAATAGTTAATAGTGCCTCAACACTATCCACACCAACCTCCAGCATATCACATATGGGTTTGCTTGGTCACACACTCATCTTCAGAATCAAAGACAATGTCTTATTATTTGCGCGAAAAAATTTATATTGTATTTAATTTTGTTTTCTTTTAAAATGTTCATCCTAAACTTCCTACCTGGGGACTTGTTATGGATGACGCAGGCACGTCTGTGGTTGAAGTCCATGGCGTAATTGTTTTAACATTCAACTCACTATCGTAAGTCACAGACTCTACCTAAAACAAGATGGAACAGAATAAAGTTTACTTTTAAAAAATAATTTACCATTAAAAATATTGTTACATAACAGCTCAAGTTTCCAAAAATATTTTCCAAATTCAAATTATAAACAATAAAAAGTGTTGTCAGAAAGAATACATAGGTCAGACCAAGTCTATGTGAAATGTGTGTCTCAAAGTTGAGGATTGGAAAAAAAAAAGTTTAACATTATAAAGACAGTGAAACAGTATACCAAGTTACTTCCATATGCTAGAACAAATTTGTACAAATACTTCTTCCCTAATTCTATGAGAGCATGGAATGGGTTGCCTGAATCAGCCAGGAAAACCAACGACATGATAGAATCAAAGCCATTGACTAACATGACTAGAATGACCTTTGGACACCCGTAGGACATAATCCTCTTCTTTTTTTTAAGTAACATCTGTATTTTACAAGATAAGATTTAATAAGACAATCACAAGTTTAAAAAAAAAATTTTTTCTTCACCAGGCTTCACTTACTAACTTTCACTTACAAGCCTCTTCAATGTCTTTTATAGACTTAAGTGAATTTTTCTTTTCATAAAATCTGCAATGATTAATGATATTTATTATCCATAATTTGTCTTGCAACTTGTGCATTACACCAAACAAAACATTATAACTATAGAAAACCAAATAAACATTCAAACCAGACTCACTCATAATTTACATTTGAAATAAACTTACTGTTTTGAAAACTTTGCCGTATTACATTTGAAATAAACTTACTGTTTTGAAAACTTTGCAATATTACATTTGAAATAAACTTACTGTTTTGAAAACTTTGCAATATTACATTTGAAATAAACTTACTGTTTTGAAAACTTTGCAATATTACATTTGAAATAAACTTACTGTTTTGAAAACTTTGCCAGTCACCCGACAGTGCCTGATGTTATGTTTGTGTTGGAGCAACGAGACGGGAGACATGTCCACTATGCTTGTGGCCAAGGAGCTAAGTAGGTCACAGGTGTGCTGGTCATGAATGTCTTTATGAATCAGAGCCAGGACCTGAAGAACATTTTCATCTGGTCAGAAAATAAAAAGTGAGGCTCTATGAGGAGATATTTTTCATTTGACATATGGAAACTCAGCTAATTAAATAGGTCAGTGCTTTTCAAGCTGTTTGTGAACAAGCACAACTTGATGAGCACCAGTAAACTGAAAGAACGCTGTCAAAGAATCTTTCATTTTGGCCTGCGTTCTTCCCCCCCAAAAAAGTCATTGTAATCACTATGATGGAGATGTTAAGGGATATTGAACTAATTAAACTTGAATTATCAAATTACTGTTTAAAAAAAAACAAGAGGTGTATAAATGTCACACAAGTGAAAAGTCATATGCACAATTATCAGACGTCAGATTCTCACTAGAGAAGAATTTTAATTACAGGCTAACTTGTACATTACCACTTGTTCTCACTATAGATTGTTTACCTATCTTCTAGCTCAGTGTTTCCCTAACTGGGGAACACTTCTGTTCAGTGAGGCTTGAATAGGTGTTCCATGCACAATTATCAGACGTCAGATTCTCACTAGAGAAGAATTTTAATTACAGGCTAACTTGTACATTACTAC